CATTTTACGAAGTGCAAATAACAGAAATTGTTTCTGGATGGATTCAACTCGGGCAATCTTTTCAGCTGTGTATGGGTTCCATACTTGCGATGCATATTCGACAATCGGAAGGACAAATGTGTTAAATAGTCTCTTTATGGTCCATGGATCCTCAAACTCTCTACCAAATCGTTTAATCCAGGCCAAACGTGATTTTGCTTTGGCTGTAATGTATTCAATGTGTGCAGTAAAGTTCAATTTATTATCAGTATAACTCCCAGATCTTTTATCACGTTGACTCGCTCAATTTGCTCGTTGCCAATTGAATACTTGAAGTTGAATCTCATGCCTCCACGATAAAATGACACAAATTTAGTCTTTGACACATTCAATTTTAGCTGATTCCGATTAAAGTATTCAACAAGCTCATTCAAATCCGCTTGCAATTGCAGACAATCATCATAGTGTCTAATATGCTTCCACAGGCGAGTGTCATCAGCGAACGACTGAAGAATTGAGTCCCTTATGTGTTTCGGCAAATCAATGATGAACAACAGGAACAATGTATGTGTTTTATGTGAATGGTATCATTTGCACATCCAAACGAATACCAGTGCTTTAGTTGCAAGTGAAAGGCCGAATAAAGTACGCGTATAGTTACCGTAGAAAGTGAATAACACAAAAAAAACAAATTGAAATAGAAAACACATGAAAAAGCCTAAAATCAAGCGTGTGGTGATCAGTGATCACTGTTGAAGATAAATGTGATATTCTCATTCAACGTGTTTCAATTGATGAATGGAATCATTTAACTGATCGATTTAAAAGAATAAATTGAAACTAATCCTTACATATTTCTTCATCGAATCATCCATCAATAAACTTTGGAATGATAAAAAAACACCTATTTTGAGAGACTTTTGAAGGGCTGTTTAAATTACTGCGACGAAAAAGTACACAAAGACTGAATAATACCGAACGAAAAATTGAGGGTAAAGTTGAATGACATAGTAAAATTTAATCGTATTTATTTTTTGTAGAAATCAGTCATGGCGAATGTTCAGGATTTAAGAGAACATATTTTATCACTGTCGGTTGCTGAATATTTTGAAATGGCGAGAACAGAATGGGAATTCAATCATATTGTTTTAACAAGACATTTTCTACAATGTCCATGCTCCAGACCGATCCACGAAATTTGTTTTATACGAAATGCTATAAACGGAAATGTAACTCACGTCGGTACCGGTTGTTTAAGACAATTTTTGGATGTATACACACGTGAATTATTTATTGCATTGAAAAGAATAGTGAGAGATCAACGGATCAAACCGAATATCGATATAATTGAATATGCATATTTGAAAGGACTATTGTACGGTGACAATGAATACCAATTTTTGGAAGGTATTGAAGAGCAAACAGACATTTCTCCAAGACAGACGCAGTGGTTTCGTTTTATAAATCGTCGAATTGTTCAACATATCCAAGTAAGACGTTTTTGAAAATTACTGCAATTCACAGCAAAATGTTGTCATACGAATCAACCAGCAATTTTTTCAAGAGATTTTACGATAATAGTGAATGAGAAAAAATGAGACAAATTGCTGTTTATCAATTGGCATATACAAACACTGGGCAGTGGGCACGAACCAACCATGACCAAGTTGGTCAGACCAACGCAATAATTCGAAGTTAGGTTTTATAAGTAGACAAACGATTCCATTGAAAAATTATCTTGCGCTACCAACCGAAAAGAATATTTTGAAGCGAAAATTAGAATCTAATGTAAGGTTCAAGATGGCATATGTTGAATTTCTAATTCACCAGTTAATCTAATCAATATATTTGAACTTATCTTTTGAAATCGTTTGTTAGGGCATTCTTGCAATATAAGAATATATTTTGTAGTGAAATCGGCTTTGCATTTCCTTAATTCATTGTAAAAGGTAATGCAAATGCGCTCATTCACAACATTTAACATTTGTATATTAGCGTCTTTTCGTATTTGGCTGATGTGTTAGAGCGGTGCGGATGTGGCGTTGGTTCGATCACCATATAACCATCTCTTTCTCGCGCGACGCTCGTGAGGAGTCTATATATTCAGCGTTTCACGCGAACGGAAGGGTGGTTATGTTAACGAGGCATAATATCGCTCGCGAATTGAGAGGGTGAGTATGCATTGATGCATGCTTTGCAGCATTGCACTTGTGGACCCGCCGTATCTCTTTCACATCGGACAATGTCGTGAGCCATGGTTTTACACGTGGTAGATAGACAACAGGTTTCATCGGAAACCACTCTCGCTGTATTTCCGTAAACAATTATAAGGGTAAGCGAGAAGGGTGTTAGCTTCTTAATGTTATTGTTGCTATCTCTGTCATCGGATTTGCACTATAAATAACCGGTGCATCCTATGTAATTTGTTCAGTTTTCTTTAAATCTAATTGGATAAACATCTCCCAAAAACCAACTCAAGAGCTAATAAAGTGTGAAATAAATAAAAATAAAAGTGTTTGATTTATTTCCTAATAAAACTAAAAAAGAACTTAGAATAATTCGAGCCGGAAATAAAATCAGAATTCGGACCTAGAATATTCTGCACAAAAATAAATAGCTGATCGAATTTTCCAGTACATCGCAGCAGAGTAACAAAAACACTTAGTCAACAAAATTCAGTCGGCTATATTGGCGCTTGCGAATAAAGGAAAATACACAGATTTAAAAAGAAATTGAACCAAAAGTGAATTATTGTGAAAAGATCAAAATAGAATTGGACTTTGTTTTTTTTTGCGGCAAGAAGATTGACTATTTTCGACGATTTTTCCGAAGTTTTGCAACGAATTAAAACGATTTTTTTTCAAGTTTTTCAACGAATTAAATCGATTTTTCCGAAGTTTTG